GCAATGCCCATGCAATGAAATGTTGCTCCTTATTTCCAAAACCTTTACCAATCACAACAACTATCAAATCGTTAATGCAACTCAGCCCGTGGAAACTCCATGGCGCCACAAGAGAAGGATTGGCTAACTATCCCTAACCTAAGGTAACTCCTTAGCTTCATTTGGGGCCTAGGTAACTCAACCACGCTAGGGCAGTCTCCCTAGTTCCCTCTAGGTTCCACTAACGCCACGGACACAAGGCAACTCCTTGTCGTCCGGTTTTCGCAAACATCTTTCAAAACCTTTCTTTTCAAAACCTTTCCCAAAATCAATTGTTTTTCATTTGAAAATCAAATTCCCATATCTTGCCTAATGTCAATGCATGAATGCTACATGCATTTCAATGCTATGAAAACTCATACATTTAAACCACAATCATATTTGCATGCTTTGAAAAATAATTAACACCACAATTTATCATACTCTCAATTTATCAAACATGGCATTTTAAACAAGCAAGTCATAGTACAGTATCAATTAAACGTCTATTTTCACAATAACTCACATAACATGTAATTCAACACATTTTATCACATAAAACATAGATGTCATGCTTCAAAATCATAACTTAAGCATGCTCTAACACAAAAATGGGAAAATAACTCACAAAAAACCAAGGAATTGCGGTTTGGAAACCCCCACCTCAAAAGAAAAGAAAAGCCTAAAAATCCTCAAATTTTTTAATTTCCAAGGTCACCAAATTGAAAATTCGTTCCGATCAACTTGCTACTCTCTTCGTGCTTGTTAACTTTGCCTTAAATGGCAAAGTCCAAATCTAAAAGAAAAATGGTGAAATCAAGCTTCAAAAGCTATGATTTTATAGAGAGAGAGAAAGCTTCGGATGATGGAGGAAGAAAAGAAGCAGAAAAATGCATCATATAGTCCTCATGTAACCCATTTGACCTCAAAATATCCAAAATGTCTCCTTTATAGCAAAAGAACCCTAAAACATGATATAGTTATACACATAAGCACCCAATCAGATAAATATGCATTAAATAAAAACAACGGAGTGCAATGATCCCAAAAGTATCCCCGAGCATAAAAAAATCCGGGTGCGAGACCCACACGGGACCTCTAGGACCAAAATCCCGAAAAATATCAATTGACCCCAAATAGATTTCCAAGAGTTCTAAACTCGAAGAAATTTCCCAAACCACTCTCGGAACTTACGTGGCACGCTAACCGGGGTGTGGCACACAAAACGAGGCGCAAAAATAAATAAATCAGAAAAATCGAAAAATACCCGAAAAATGGAAAAAATGAGAAACATCACATGCGGTATATCATATTCTTCGATATCTTAAGTCCTATCTCGGACTTGGATTATTCTATTCTTCTAGCAGGTAGGTTTGGGTTATCTTGTTTCAGTGATGCAGACTATGCTGGGTCCAAGACTGACAGGCATTCCACATCTCCCTTCTGTACTTTCTATGGAGATCATCTTATATCCTGGAAAATAATAAACAACCTGTAGTTTCCAGAGCTTCAGCAGAGGCTGAGTATCGTGCCATAGCCTAGGATACTTGTGAGATTCTTTGGTTTCGATCTTTCTTGGAGGAGCTAGGGCTAAGTGAAAAATAGTACTCAGACTTGTTTTGTAATAATAGTCAGCCACCATGCTTGCTTCAGATTCTGTTCTTTATGAGAGGACTAAACATATAGAGGTGGACATTCATTTTATCAGAGAGAAGGTTCGTTCGGGAATTATCAAGCCATGCTTTGTTCGGTCCTCTAATCAGTCGGCAGATGTGTTCACCAAATCCGTTGGTCCATCTTTGCTTCATTCCTCGATTACCAAGCTGGGCTTGATTGATATCTTCACTCCAGCTTGAGGGGGAGTGTTGAAATATCTGTGTTATTATTATTTTTATTAGTTGTTTTCAGCCTTTTATTAGGGGTTTTTATGTAAGATCCCTATTATCGTGGGATCACGTAGATAAGATCCCTGTAATCATGAGATCACGTAGATTTTGGCATATTTAATGTTTTTCTTTGATTTGGTTTCCTTTCTTTGTATCATATTCTTGTATATAAATATAGCTCTTGGCTCTCGATTTGAGTAAGCCAACACCCAAAACTACTTCTTTTTGGTATTAGAGCAAAAGAAAAATCTTCGCCTCCCCATCTTCGGTTTGAGTAACAACAATTGAGGTAGCATCCGGTGGAAAATCACTTAGGGGTTCATACTGAGCCAACTCCTTCCAACGAGATTGTAAATACCCAAAAAATTCTGCTACAGATAGTCCCTAAAGTTCCTGGTCTGCTCAGGATATTTCCCCATACAACTCAAAGATCTGGGAATCAATGCGCGCATACATCTGGGTCAGAGCAGTCCAAAGATTGTATACCCTGTCATGGTACATTAGCATATTGTAAAGTCGCTCTTCCATAGAATTAAATAGCCATCCTAGAATCGTGCAGTTGTCCATTCCCATGTAGCAAATTTAGGGTCATCAACATCACAATTCTTTTTCTTTCCCAATATCCAACTCGTCTTGCCTTTCGCACCAAGATTGAGACAAAAGGAACGAGACCATGATGCAAAATTACGCCCATTCAATAACACACTTGTAACCCGTTAAGGTGGGTATGTTGAGAAACAGACATCAGGACAGGGAGCAACAACTACCTCACTTACCTTTTTCACTAGAGTCACCCATAAAAAAAGGACACAAATTTCTCGGACAAAAAAATCGTTGCAAACACCAACAACCCAGTTACCGGAGACACGATAGAAGGTCACAAAGATGCTACTAAACTCACCGGTAGCCCAAAATCATCAATAAATGGTAGAATATCATAGCACGTCACAGCTATTCGCTGAAAAAATTCCTTGAAAGAGGGGTTCGAACCAAAGATAAAACACTCCCAAGGGATTCACATGTAGGCTGGACTCCCAAGGGGGGAATCACTGAAGCTTAGGGAAGAGGGCAGAGGTGGGGTGGGGTTTAGGGCAGCAGGCGAAGGTGTTAAGAGAGGTGGGTGGTGCCGGCGAGTGGTTTGAAGAGGAGTGTGTAAGGCTCTGATACCAAAAAGCGAACCAAAAAAATTGTGCAATTGCTTGCCTCTAATTGAGTGCAAGCACTTGCATTTATATTTACCAATTACAGCTACAATAAAGGAATAAAATAAAGTCAAATAAATTAAAATTCCTAATTAACCATGATCCACTAATCACAGGACCTGGATTTATGGGGACAAAATAAAATGTGGATTCCAACAGGATGTAATGGTTGTCATATAACGGCTCTAAATACTTGGCCGTGAAATTTTTTCTAGCACACACTGTGGCCTAATCAATTCTCTTAGTAGCCTATCATTCAATACCATAAGGCACAGGCACATTTATAGCCCCGTTCCCATTCTTTCCCTTTAACACATGCCATGTGATCTAACATCAGACAATGATCTATAGATGCACTTCTCTCCGCTTCACCTTTCTTAGCTTCCTCCTCTGAATTTTTATCTACAATTATCGCTACCTTTTATTTATTTATTATGTTTCTTTCTTCTTTTCCCATTAGACGAAAGTTTTCATGTTTTTGAAATTGTATCAATTTTTCTTTCTAACCATTGTATAGATCAATTTCATCACTTTTGTTGGCCATGTTTCCATGTACAAAGTTGCTAAACTAATTTTATTTATTGGGCTAAAATTTTCCTCCTCACCTGTCCATCAATGGTTCTGGAACTTTGCCTACTTGCCACATTTACACATCAACGGGGAATGCTTTTTATGGGAATATGTATCTCAACCTGGGTCTGATACAATGAATCAGTAGTATAGGACCCCCATGTAGGGAATAATATTTCAGGATTTCGTATCACTAGGTGTGCTGTATATTTAATGTTGCTTGCATGAAAAAACCATGGCACAAAGAGCAATGCCAATGAAGTTGCTGATTTATTTAATCCGCACAGTGAAATACCAGCATGCTTAGAACTAGGCCTGCACGCTATTCGTTTGTTGCTCCTACTTTGGGGAACTTGAAATGTATGAGCTTCACATTTTATCCAGCACACTCCGTGTCATGAAATTTTATACAATATTGCTTTCATAGTACGTCTGACAATGCTAGTGACACGGTCATGACATCTATTATTGCTGAAATAAATGTTCTTGACTTAACACATTCTTGCACACCCTTAGATTGGTTTGAACTCTTTCATAATAGAAATGCAGCTCTTTACTTGGTGATCTGTCCAACATGTTGACGACTGCTGTGTTCAGTTTAATCCAACTTGTAACCCTGACTCTCCTATTGTGAGTGATCATCTGTCCGTGTGGACAGTTTTATTGGTTTCATTGCTACTCCCTATTCAAATAGGCATCTCAAGATTCAAACTAAAAGATTGTGGATTGATGTCCCATTAGTTTTATTGGCTCATTGCATTCCATGCATAAATTTTCCATTTTCATGAATACACTACATTCGCAGCCTATATCATTGTTGATGCTGAAGGTCTGGAACTTTTGGCATACCTTGAAATCAACAAAGCGAACACCATTACTAGTGTCTATGAGTTCAATTTTCTATCAAGGCCCCTATGTTACATGAAGACTTGGGTATATGTGTCAAATACGGGTATATTTATCCACACATTGGACATGTCAAATCCCAAATAAAAACGACACATGGACACTGCTAAATATTCATTTTGTTTAATGTTTTTATTTATTCTTTAAAGTAAAATAGTGTTTATATGTAATATGGCGACCAAAAGAGACTTTTTCACTCATTTGAAGTAATAATATAATAAAATAGAATTATTAGATATATGTTTTAGGTGCATGTCCAACCAAAAGTGTCGGACACATATTTCATACCCATGTTCGAAATCCAAAATATATGTGTCAAACACGGGTACTTTACCTACTTTGGAAGAGTCCATGTAACATAGCAAGGCAGTATCATAGACAGAATTATTTATTTAATGTATTGTGTGCTACATGGCAGGTATGAATCACCCTATTGGCGAGGCGTTGCAGCGGCGCGCATTCAAGTGGCATGGAGATACAGAAAGAAGCGCCTAAACCGGGAAAACACCTCGAATTCTCAATCCAATTACTCTTAAAGCCAGTGATAGTTATTAATGGTGATTTAGATGCATTGTTTGTATGTTGTTGTAAACTGAATTATCAAATCACATGACCATCCTTGTGGAATCTTGTGATGTATAAAGAACCACGTAATTTTTATTTGCATGTTTGTGTTTCTGAAAAATGTAATTTTATTATATATGTTTTATTTTTTTAACTACATCATAGTCTTCACTATCTGTCCTTCTCCGTGTGTACCTTTGTCTCATGAAATTTTTGTCATCACTACAGGTAGAATGGCAGTCGAGACGGGTATTGAATTTATTGACTCACCCATCGCCCAAAACCAGCGTCCAGGTCACCCTTATTTAGAAAGGAGATTGGCTGCCTAAGTTTAAATCTGGGACCTACCTATGAGAGCTTCTATCTGTCTGTCACAAGGCCAAACATGTGGTCAAAAGTTATTTTAGAATCTTAATTAAAAATTTATCAAAATAATTATTTATTTTTACAAATAATTAATCAGCAACTTGTTTCATTAATTAAAATTTTAAATATGTATGAAGCCAAATATGTTGTCATTTTTTCACATTCATTAGTAACAAGTAAAGATTATAAGAGTAAAGAGATTAAAGTTTAAGGGGTTATAATTTTTTATTTAAATAATTCTTAATTATGATATAAATAGTAGTTTTAAATAAATGTTAAAATTCATATTTTCTAAAAATTATTCTAACTAAATGTATAAAATAGTTCTAACTACTTTTTTTGGGCCTGATATTTTAATAGATTTTCTTCCTTTCTTTTAAATAATTTGTTTTTTTATTTCTCTTGGTCAAGGTATATCACAATATAAGTTTAACAATGAATTGGCGATGGTAACTTAAACCCACCATTTGTGAATGTTAGGTCCTTGAGTGAATAGCTGCAAAAATAAAGTATGAGATAAAATATTGTGATTTTTTTTTTTAAATAATTTAGTTTGTGACTTTATGATGATAAAAATTTTCTCAATAGCTCAGGATTAGTATAACTAAAGGGGCCTCAAGTGAGATTGTAGTTAGTAATCAAGAACGCAGGGAACAGGATCTTGAGATATGACCTAGAGGGTGGTCAATAGATCGGTTCCCACTTTACGGCTTATTCTGACTTTTGGATGAACTCCACACAATTTTTTTATTCTATTGCATGCAGAATATAATATATCACAGATATATTAATTCAAATTATGATAGGTAAATTCGTTATGCTTTGTATTCAGTATTCAATTAATAATACTCCCTATCACAGATAAATTTATTATGCAATTGAATATTACATGTGTTCTATGATATTGCCAACACGAGATACACCCGTTACGCACTGCTTACTCACCTTGGATGCTTCACCCCTGTACCCAATGACGGAAAATTAATAAGTCCCTCTAGTTTTTCCTCCCTCATTCCCTTCAACCTGCCAAACACATTACTGTGAGGGACTTTATTTTATATTGGCTAATTTCATTGTTAAAACGTGTCGATCGAGTTGTTATATTTGTTTAGATTTGAGTCTCGATTGTTGGAGTTGTACAAGAAGTGCAAGATACTGTCGATTTGTTGTGAACATCATCAAGAACATGCATGTGAAGTGAGGACACTTTGCACATGTGTTTAAGTTTGGCAGGGACACAAAAATTAGGGTTTTAAAATAAATTTTCAAAATTTGCAAATAAACATCAACCAGAATTTTGTTGACCGGTCCTATGGACTTCTACAAAGTCCCGCGGTCGTAATTTTGGCAACCAGTTGGACTTGTCTAGATTGCCTCGAACTTTTTTTTAAATCGAACTTTTAAAAAACTTCTACAATGTTTTTAAAAGTCTTTCCTATATAAATACTCTCCTAACTTCCTGATGAAGATATGTGCGTAGCGATTTTATTTTTCAAGAGTAAGAGAGAGACCGTGAGTATTTTCCACTGGGAGGAAATCACCATAGATTTTTCTATATTTTTTCTTTTACTTGAGAGTACACATGATTCACTAGATTGATTTTAAGATAGTTTTTCAATTTGATCGGCGTTTAAAGTTTATTGAAGATCATATTCATTCTATCAGAAAGCATGATTTATTTTTCTCCTTTTATCTTCGTGATTACAAGGAACGTGGATTCAGTTGCTTTAAGAAGGGGATAGAATGTTCGTGGAGAAGTCGTGTTGTTCTAGCAACCCTTTTGCAAAGATTGAGGAGTAAGCCGAAATCTGCATAAGCTTGAAGTGCTCAACAACTGGTTCTTGGTAGGATAGAGTGTGTGCAACAACTACTTCTTGGTAGAATATAATGTGTGAGCCTAAGACATGATTGGTAAAACTTTGCTTTGAAATAATGAATACTTTCATGATCACTCAAGACGGTTAAGCCTCTGTGCATCTCTTACTTTATTTCACTTTATTTACTGTTTTGCGTGTGATTATTTTAATTGGACTAAAATTAATATAATTTCAAAATTGGATAAAAATTGTAGGTTAAACTTATTCACCTCGCTGGATTTTGTGTTCTATTTAACCTTTCACAAATTTTTTTGCACCGTTCAAATCACAAAATTACAAGTGAATTCATGATATAAAGTATATAATCACTATGTGCACATGAACTGCACAAGAAAGTATGGACATAAAATAAAGTTGATAGGGAGCATATCAACCTAAATTCGAATTTTTATCCATTAATATCAAGGTTCATACCAAAGTCCAAATCTCAAGCTCAAATAGCCGGACATATATAAACTCGTTCATGAACTTGCCTATTTATTCTTATTTCTAATTTAACATGTTTCACAAGCTTACAAATTGAGCCAAGCTTACTCATGAATAACCCGTACTAAACTTGAGAATAACTTTTACAAACACAACCCAATATAACACCACAAAAAAAATGAGAAGAGTCTAAACAAATGCTAATTCGGCTTGACTTGATTTATTTGAAATCCTATTATAACTATAATATGTGTTTCCTTCGCTAATTAGATTTTTTAATATTGCATATTTCCTTCTCTAATTAGATTTTCTTTTCCTATTACCTATATTATTATTAACTAAATAAATAAGTTTTTTAGTATTACTGTATATATTTATTTCTCTAATTATATTTCCTTTTGCTGAATTAAATAACTAATTTTTAAAAATCATATATTAATGTACTAAAATATTGAAATTCAATAATGTGTTTCCGTCTCTAATTATATTTTTTAATATTGTTTATTTCTTTCTCTAATTAACTTTCCTTTTATTGAATTTAAGTATTTCCTACTACCTATATTATTATTAACTAAATAAATAAGTTTTTTAATATTATATATTTCCTTCTCTAATTAGATTTCCTTTTATTGAATTAAATAAATAATTTTTATATTATATATTAATGTGTTTCCTTCTCTAATTAGATTTTTTATATTATATATTACATTAACTAAATAAATAATTTTGTAAATATTATATATTAATATGTTTCCCTTTCTATTTATATTTTTTTATTATATATTTTCTTCTGTAATTAAATTTCCTTTTGTTATATATTTCCTTTTCTAATTAGATTTCCTTTTATATTTCATTCTTTAATTAGATTTCCTTTTACTAAATTAAATAAATAAATTTCCTTTCATTATATATTTTCTTTTCTAATTAGGTTTCCTTTTTTATTTTATTCTTTAATTAGATTTTATTTTATTAAATTAAATAAATATATTTTTTAATATTATGTATTATTGGATTGAAATATTATATATTAATGTGTTTCATTCTCTAATTAGATTTTTTAATATTATATATTACATTAACTGAATAAATAATTTTGTAAACATTATATATTAATGTGTTTCCTTTTCTAATTAGATTTTTTTATATTATATATTTCCTTTTCAAATTAGATTTCCTTTTATTATATATTTCCTTTTCTAATTAGATTTCCTTTTATATTTCATTCTTTAATTAGATTTTCTTTTATTAAATTAAATAAATAAATTTCCTTTCATTATATATTCCTTTTCTAATTAGATTTCCTTGTATATTTCATTCTTTAATTAGATTTTATTTTATTAAATTAAATAAATATATTTTTTTAATATTATGTATTATTGGACTGAAATATTACGAGTACTCTTGATAATAATATAGATACTGTTATTTATATATATGCATGGAGCAATATACCCTTTTAGTTATAGTTTTTAGATCTTATCCTAAAATTAATTGAAAAAATAGTTGTTTTAAAAAACTACCATTATTTCAATTATCCATTAACTGTGAAATGAATATAATGGATAGTTTCTTAAAAGGGAAAGAAATATATAGATATATATATATATATATATATCACAAGATTTTCCATGTGTGCTAACTCCACTATTTTCATGTACACAATTGTTCTGTTTTAAATTTACAGAACAAGCAAAGATACATCAAAAGTTCGAAACATTAGAATGCTTGTATCTGGATTTCGCTCGTTTCTCCCACTATCTCTATGGAAAATCTGTTTTTATATCATTAAAATTCACCCTAGACGACTTATTTGACCTTGAAATGTCTGAGCATTTCTTGTCTGATGAATAATGTAAGCAAATACCGAAAATAATAATAATAAAATAATAATGCAAGCAAATATTTAAGGAGCTGACGTCATCACTTCATCTCCTTGTCCATCAAACTGTGTTACATCAGTTTCATTAAAAAATAGAACAGAAAACAATACTTGTGAAATAGAGCTACTGGAAAGCATTTCTTCTTCTAACATGAAAAGAACAGAATAAATCGAAATAAATATCAATAGCCGTCCTATTTGTTAGCTCCTAAATGAAACAAAATGTAAGTCTTCGGCGGAGGCTGTATGAAGCTGTGACAGTCCACATAATGGAGGAAAACTGGGAAGAGCAAATAATTAAACCATCTCACTCTACATAAGTTACTGGAGGAAAGTATAAAATCAATTTGAGAGGGTTGCTACTTTTTGGGACAACGCATCAACCTCATCGTTGTTCTCGGCAATTGGTTCTTCCTGCAACAAGTGATCATGATTAATAACAACATTGGCATCATCAAGAACAAGAATAAAATCATTTGTGCAGCATTGTTATCTTTCTTTATTCCGTAAACAAAAATGTCCAGGTTGTTGCATTTTCTTTTACATCTATTTTCTGATTGGGATTAATGGAAATACCAAGGAATGGGCACATGGATTATCAAGTGAGTTGTGATCCATTTGGTTTCCATAGTATTTAGAGGCATCAAAACTTTCTTCAAGGATCACATTTAGAACAGAACTAGGGACATGCAACAATTTTAAGACGAGAAATAGACAGAGCCATTTAAAAAAGGCCTACATGATCACATGCGTCATAATAGAGAATTTAACCCGATTAACTGTTAACCGGTATTTACCTTTATAGAGAAAAGGTGATTTCTACACAGCATGGTATTATTCTATCCAAGGTGTTCATTTCAACAAATTTGTGCCATACCTTAATATCCTTGTGTTTGTAGCCTCATTTAATCTTTATTTGATATCACTTTTATAGAAAATAGATGATTTCTACACATCATGCTATTATTTCATCCAACAGCATGACGTTTGAGAAATTAGTGCTATATCAATCAATATCAAACATCAATCTCTGTGAGTGGTGAACACAAAATGAACAAGCAACAAGAAACAATTAAAGCAATACAAATTACCTCTGAATCTTTTCTTCCTTTTACAACTACACACTTTGAAGCACTAATACTAGCACTTTTTAATAGGCTACGAGCACTGTAGTTTGGCTTGCTTAGTCCATTTTGTGTGTTCGCAATTGCATTTTCTGATCCATCGGACTCCTTTGGAGGACTCTGAAGAGTAGTTGCAACAGAAGCCGCAGTTCGCTTTTCAAAATCATTACTTTGGGCAGCATCTTCATCCTTGGGTGCGGGAACACGCTCTCTGAAAAAGGCAAAAGATAATACACAATACACATCCTCAAATTAGCTGAACCAGGGGCCTATCAGGTATACCATATAATCAGCCCATCTTATTATGATGGTGGTCAGAATTGGTTTAAATCATGTTCGGCAAGCATGCTAGTTTGAGGGATGTAATGCAATGAATGCTGGTATATTTGGAAGTGGAAAAATTTTCCTCAACCACCTGACCTGATTATGCAGTTTCCATAATAGCACCATATAACGCTTACAAAAATTAGTCTACATCTTTGCTCAACATTTTACCTAGGCAAGGAAGCATGCTGCCTTTGGAGTGGAGTGCTTCTTTCACCTTTGCCATAATGCTCCTCAAGATGGGCAAACTGTCGCTTGAACCGATCAACACCACTATATTTCGAGCAATAACATTGAGTGAAAACTTGACTAATCCTAGCAAAAATAATTAATATATGGAAGCAAAAAAAAAAAAATACCTCCCATTTTAACATGAAATTGACAGCAAATTGGATATTTAATAACAAATTGTTGGGTGATATAAAAATTCCAGGGACCTATAGATGCCCTCAAATGTCAGTAAAAACAACATAATGAAGATGTCGAATTGCATTTTGAAAAAAAAGATGTCGAATTGCTAGTTTCAGAACCTTCACTTGGAGATGGAAGGTTCTGAAATCTTTATTGTTCCACATTAGTAGCATTATGGGCAACACGCACATGCACCTGCTTGGCACCACTTGGCTTGACCAGACGTGCCATATCATGGCGTGCGGTGTTGTGTTGATGTAGAGTGGTGTGCCACACAAGCGTGTGGGCTTCCTTTTTCACAAGGCTCATTTCTGACACATTTAAAATTGTAACTGTTGAGACTCGTTACAAAGAAGAAATGTGGGATCATTTAAAAAGCCCAGCCATTATATCCATTGAAGCCTATTTATACAGACACTCATTAACCTATTTATTCAGTCTCGTTTATACACATTTAATCTGCCATTTATTTTCTATCCGTTGGGCTTTACTTTGACATTAGTGCACACAACAGTAAATAGTGTGCTAGTCTACAAACAGAGAACACACATTCTCTGCAATACTTCTATCTACTCTGTTATTCTACTGGGTATCCACTCCCTTCTGCAGCTTTACTTCAGCCTTCTTTCATAAAATTAACTATTTTTTAAGGCAAAAAAAACAAAAACAGATTTGTATCATCATCTTCCTATAGTAATGCACGTAGACGAAATAAGGCTGAGAGCTGATTTGGGTTTTACCTTGGAGTTATCTAAGACCGCATTCACCTGCACATTGGACAGGACTATCAGCTTCAACACAGCGTGCCTCTCTGTTAGGCCAGCTTTCTTAAACTCAGTTTTATTTTATAAATTATTTTATGACAATGATTAACTTAATTTAGTGCTGCATTGCAATATTTGTTTATAATTTTAAAGTTCTTTATGGTATCATTTTCTTTGCATTACTTTATTTGTGAAGTATATACATGCCAAAAGTAAATACCACCTACTAATGTTACGCTTTTTTTTACAAAACTTTAATAGAAAAATTACACAAACACGGAAGCTGGGGGATATTGCTGTGTCAGTGGAAACTGCTTTTGTCAAAGAATTCAATTCTCAAAGGAGAAGAAGATAATTTGTTTAGCCACAAAATAGAAAAGGAAAGAAATGTTCAAATAAAAGTAGGGCACGGAATAATTCCAATAGGGTTAAAGTATCTTTGAAGTTCTAAGAATACATCAAGATAATTGAGATATTTCTATTCTAAGCAAACATCAACTTTCCTATTTTAATTATTAGGTTCTTTCCCAATAAAGATGACTTAATGATTAGCCGTGGCAATTTGTTTTCACCCAACGAGCCATTATTTGGAAAAGGGACGGGTATGAGTTATACCCTTAATTTTATTTCAAAATACCAAATGTACCCTTATATACATAAATCAATATACAAGGTTTTCTAAACATCTCTCAAATCTCAAACTTACTTCATCCGCCTGACCCCACACCTGCCGATCACGATTTGCTGATTATCAACTATCTTGTTCTCGGTCTCCCTCCCTTCCCCCCACACAAACAGCCAGTCTCACATTCTCTTATTTCTCTCATACCGACATTCGGTGTTATTACAAGTGTTGTTAGGATGTTTGAGATGATGGAATTTGGGGATCGACAATGGAGATAAAAAAAAAAAAAATTTAACATAGGTGCAACAATTTTTGCCACTGGGGATGTAAATATACATATACACATAAATAGATACAAGTGTGTGTATATAAATATGTATGAACAAACGCATATTTCAAATTAGATGTGCATATGAGCTTGAACGGGATGAACCTAACCTCACTAAAGCACTGCCCACCAAAGCTTAAGCTCGAGCTTTGTGAGAAATGAATTTTGTAATTGGCTAATTTCATTGTCAAAATTTGTCTGATCAAGTTGTAATTGTTGTTTTATCTTGGGCTCAATGTCGGAAGCAAAACTACACATGCAAGCACACTTCGATGAGATGAGATGTAGTATAGGTATGTGAGTGAGGATACACATTGCAAATTTATATTTAAGTCAGATTAGGAAGTTTTTGGAAGTTTTTAAAAATAAAAGTGCGAACTGTCAAAGTCCTACAGGTCCAACTTATTTTCCACCAGTCCAAGAAATAAATTTTTGGAACTTTTAAATTGCAACTGCTAAAGTCCTACCGATCCTACTAAGTCCGACCGGTCGCATCCTACAGGATTAAAAAGGAAACTTCAGTTTTTGTAAAATTCTTCTTTCCTTTTTTTATCAAGACTTGTTAGGGAAGTCCATGTACAAGTGAGGATAGGACACTAGTGTTTATATAAACACGTTCTCTCTCATAATTTCATACGGATTTTGAAATCAAAATTGAGTAATTTGAGAGAGCATTTTTAAGTGTTTTTCACAGAAAATCGTTTTGATTTCTGTGTGTATTTTTTCTGCTTTGAGTGGACACACTGTCTCACACGAGCGATATTAGGTTGGTGATCTCTTTCAGATCGGAGTCCAAGCAATTTGAAGATTCGTTAGAATTCTGTTCAAACAAAAGCAGGTTGAAGGAAGGAGGAGTCAATCGTGCTACGAAGGGGGCAAAGCATTCACAGGGTGTTCATGTTCTACCAACCCCCCTTCTATAAGGATTGACGAATAAGCCTGAAGTTAGGAGCATTTGGATGGGGAGTCAGCAACTAGTTCTTAGTAGAGTGGAGTAAGTGTTAGCCTGAGTCAGAGTCTGATATACTTTGTGTCGAGATAGTGGCTCGTTTCGCTCGAAACTGCGAAAGTCTCTGTGCTTTCCGTCTCGGTTGGTCGGATTTCTTCCAACAAGGGTTCCACGCTAAAAACCCCGGAGTCAATCTCTAACTCTCTTACTTTACTTGCTTTATATTTTTGCTATAATTTTAATTGTGTGGTCAAAATTAAAATTTGAATAAAGGAGCAAGTTACACCTATTGGTGACATACAGTTGCTGAATAGTGTGGCAAAAGAGAGAAGATCTCCAAGTTGTGCAAGGAAAGGACGTTAAGACATGCAAGCGTCAATGCACTGATGATGTGACCAGGGATGGGGAGAAGTTCGACAACTAAGAAAAGAATTTGGGCCTAAAGCAACCAAAATGGAGGATTAGCATAAGGCCATCAACTTACAAGAAACATCTGTCTATGTCTGCTAGGGTATAGAGCAATACATGGAGAGGTGGAAAGGTAAGGCCGACTTCAAGGTGATCAACATGTACGATCATAGAGCAATGCTCACATTGGACATCCTGGACAAGATCAATATTACATGATTACCTTGTTGGCAAGCAATGAGAATGCAAGGAGGAGAACAAATCACGTGCATGGTACCAAATGATGGGATTCAACTGTTGCAGTCAACACATCAAGTTTACTACAGCATTGCATATTAGCTTCAACAAGAAGTGGGACCGAAGACATATGTTGGGTGCTAAAGACTTTCCATAGACATGGAGAGCTAAAGGCATAATGAGAGTGTCTCCAAATAGGTGCAGGAGGATACCACACCCTGCCCTGCCTAAATTGTGAGAAGGTTAGGCCACACAAAAAGTACATACAAGTGCTTATTGGAAGTCTGGTTTCTACATGGCATATCTGTGTGTCTGGAATCAAGGTTAGTGTCAAGTTCTGTCGAGTCATGAATTGGATAAATTAGTGCCTACGGATAGGGTAGGTTTAATCAGCATCTATAAGCCACCCAGGAGTAAGAGAAGCTCCTCATGGTGTAAGAGAGACCAAGTCTTGTACACATTCCTTAAGAAATAATACAAGCATTCAACTCTTGCCAACCAAGTGCATCCAAGTATGTGTGAGTGCGCAAGCCCAAGTGAAAGAGTGAGTCGGTGAGGACCCTACAACACTAGCAAGTAAGGGCCCTATCAAGTCGGGTTGACACAAGTTAGCGGAGTACCACACAGGTTTGGTATGGAAACATAAATAAATTCAGTTCCAAAAACATAAAAAAGTGCTTGACCTTGGGTACATAAAGCTGGTTTGATCCGCACCACGAAGATACTCCTGAAGCATCTGGGGATGGTACTCTAAAATCTGTTTACTTCAGATAAAATTCATTGTAAGTATAGTTGATATTTCAAACAACAATCTTATCACAACAAATTGTTATGGTGTAAGGTTATACCTCTCGATAGATCAACTCTCTAACATCGTCTTTTGTTAATTTACGCCTCTCAAACTCAAACTCAAGTTTTGAAATAGGTTGAGTAGATGGCTCGCGGTCCACATTCGCCAAACCATTAAAGTATGGATCAGCTAATGCCTGTGAACATAGGATATCAGGAGCATGCTGACCCCTAATCAATTAAAGCAAGGATAATTCTTTTGAGGAGAATTTCTTTGAAGTGGTAAAATAGTGAAAAGTTTCCAAATATTACCTCTTCAGCAGATGGCCTATCTTTAGGATCAAATGCAAGTAGGCGCTCCAGTAAGACAAGAGCCAAAGGATCTGCATTGGGGAATTTCTGAGAAAATGGAACTGGTTGTTTTTTACGCATGCTGCTTAGATATCTTCTAGCCTTCTCATTTCGGATCTGTCATTTTAATGAAAACAATAATCATTTATAAGGAAAAAGTAATATAAAACAAGAGCCTTGCCTGACACTAGTGAATTGAGGAAAAAGCACAAGGTAAATCTCATTTTCAGTTCCTAAGAGTGGCTACTCAAAATAAATAAAGATGTATTATACACAAAAAATACTCAAGTACAATGAAAAATACTCAAGTACAATGAAAGAAGCCCCAAGGGGTTTGGTCCAACGGTAAGGAGAGGGCCTTGGTTCTAACATGTCTAGGGTTCGACTCCCCAACGCCCCATTATAACCCATAATTTAATGGTGCTGTCATTGTGGGGCCGGTTGCAGCACCCTCGGTTTGCAACTTGGGGTGGGTCCAAAAGGGACCTGCCCAGGGGAGTTCCGAGTTCCCAAAAAAAAAAAAAAAAAAGGTACAATGAAAGAAGAATAATTCAGAAAACACCAGCTTGAAGATTGTGTCATTTTCACTAAACGATATGAGTAAATGAGAGAACTAACCCTTGCAATGGATTCAGGGGAAGAAGTGCCAAGCAAATCAGTCATGAGATCCAATTGGTGCACCACATTTTTTCCAGGAAACAATGGTTTTCCTGTAAGCATTTCCGCAAATATGCATCCGATGCTCCAAATATCAATTGCAGGAGTATACTGCAAAACAGAAAATATCTCAGAAACTGCACATATGGCTTAACGACAGAGATCATCTTTCCGAGCATGCACTGCTCAGTGCACAAAAGATAACCTAACAGAAGGCCATAAAATTACTATGACATTTATAAAATTAATGAAACTGATTTTTTTATTTAAGAAAAATTTAAAATAAAAAAATATAACTGGTTTACTGAGAAAACCAATTCATAATTACCAAGACTTAAATATTATCAGTTTGATTATAATTCATCTTATTCTCATTAGAGTAGGATTAATGTTCTAAATTTTGATTTGATAGTGAAAATTGAAGACAGACAACCAGAAACAACTCCACCCAACCCCACCTTAAAAGACCAAGGATTTTTAAAATCGCATGCGTCATAAAGATTATATGAGCTTGTAAAATTGTCATCAAGAACTTCCTACACTAGTGTGCTGATCAAATGTCTGAAGAGGCAGCAGATAAGCTTAGATATTGAGCAAACACAAAATATACATCTATTAAAAACGGCTTGGGTACACCATACAAAGGAGTGGCCATTGGCCAAGCCAGACATTATCAGCATTACAAATCAATGGGAGGCATATCAGCGATGGTCTGGCCCAGCTAGGCCTCAGGCCTGAAGTAGCATTCCCAAGCCCATCAATTAGAAATTTTTCCATGGATACAGAAATCTCTAGACACAATATTGAGAGAGCATATAAAGAGATTGTATATTTTTTAGAGAGCAAAATTTTCTTTTCATGATCTAGCATCTTGCATTAGATGCTGAGTTATTATTTAAAGTGTTGATCACCATAATTCTTGTGCTACACATAATACAACACTGAAGTGTTTCTACACAACGAATACAAAGCTTGGGCGCCTAGTCATGGAGATCAAAGTACTTGAGGAAAAACAGATCATGTGAAGAACAAATCTGTTGACAGAGCAAACAGATTGGAGACTTGAGTGGAGAATTTAGCGCCAGTATGTGTAGATAGGTAACTAGGGATTCACTAGGATTTGGGAAACTGGAAATCTAGTTCTATAATCTCTTATTCATAATGGATACGATCTACCTGGACTAGGTCCTGTAGATTTTTCCTAATTTAGGGTTTTTTGTGTCAAAATCGTGTGTTTATGTATGGTTATGGTTGAGTTATTTATTTTTGCTCTCTATATTTAACTGATTCATATTAGTGCGTTCTAATATAAGACTTTAAAAACCAGTTATTGTTAATTCAAATTGGACAAGATCTACTCACCTCCTCTAAATCTATGTCAGGGTCTTGCACAAACTATAAATCAGAGCCTAAAGTCACTGATCTCCTATTTCTCAATTGGTATCAAAGCATATGATTGTAGATTCCTCGCTACTTTTTTTCCCCCTACATAGATATACCATAATAAATATTTTTCATAGTTTAGAAAGGAAACATACACCAAGCCAAAGCCTTACGATAGATAGGGTACAGCAATAAGGTTTAACGAAAACCGTTAGGGTACACACAAGTTAGTCAAGTTAGGGTTAACATCTAAGTCAGAGCCGAACCAACCGAGTTAATTCTAAAAATCACAATCCAGAACCTAAGAAGCACGGATGCAGATACAGGATATGAATAAGAGATGACACGAAAATACGATGATCCAGCAAATCTCCACAAAAAAAAATAAAAATAAAAAAATAAAAAAAACATAACATGGGTATAGCAAGATAAGACAATAAAATAATAAATTATGTAATTTATATATATATATATATAAATTATATTTTTATATATAAATTAAATTTTGATTACTTTTTCATTATGTTATGAATGTATAAAGAGACAATTAGAAAAAACACAAAGAAGAGAGAAAAACCAAAATTCCAAAACTTGAATGATCCAGATTAATCCATCTCTTCTCTGCATTGATGAGTGTCATTTAATATCTATTTGAACTTTTAAGTCCTTTTTCTTTTATCTTCTATTTTCGTTTAAACAATGAACTTTTTTATTATTACACTACCCCATTTTCATAAAAACATATAAAATTTGCCCAGATGTATCCCATAAATATCATGTTGTACCTTAAAGTATCATGTCATATCGCAGCCATATCTGATTTGAACAAAAATATTTTAAAATTCCGGATACTTTCCAGCCATATCAAACAAGTATCCGGCCATACTCGACGAGTATTTGTGTTGGGTATGTGTCCTATACAGCCACAGTGACCCTGGGAAAGTATTTGTGCTTCCTAGTCGAGAACCAAATCGTAGCAAAGAAGTTGTGAGGGTTCTATTAAGTAAGTGTACCATATGGAGCAGTGAGGTAGCATAACCTAACTTGAACAAAGAATAAAATGAACAGAGGGAAGGAGAAACTTAGAGCAACACTAAGGAAAAGGAAAAGTTATTTGTGAATTGAATTTTGATCCCTAAAAAAGGGCCTTGATGGGCTACATGTAGAAGCTTGAACTGTAATCAAGCTGCAGTTCACGAGATAATAAGTACACCTTTCGTCCCGAGGACTGAAACATTTAGGGCCTGCAAGACCTGTAAACCCCATCTTTGACTAAGCAGGTCAGATGGGTCATCAAAAACCTGCACAAAAAGGTACACCTTTCTGTATGGCAATCAGTGTCTTGTTTCTTCTCAAATAGACTAATAATGTTATCACTCCACAAAATGAATGCAGCTATCTAACTTAGTATAGCCCTCACTCTATTCAGCATGCCAAGAATCTCAAACCATCCACAGGGAGAAAGGGTAGTGTTCACTACTGCACACCAGATGGTGGAAGTTTGCCTTCTGGGTACTCCATTTCTGGAGATGAGCAGCAGATTCCGTAGCCATTAGCACCAAGCCACTTTCCACAGCCCTACCCCGCAACACAAGCAGGCATTTGGCCTGCTGTGCATGTTTTCTGAGGGCAGCATATCCTAGACTCCACACTGGAGCATGTGCAGGAAAGTTAGCAATGTAGACTGCCCTTAGGGTGCTAACCACACACCATATGTATGCAGGGTCACCTGCTGTTCACTTGACAGCCACTTGTGTCACTCATGAGTCTGGATGATATAAGTTAACAAACAGTCCTATCTTGTGTAAAGAGTAAATGCTGACAAGCATCTTTCTCACTCAAAATGCATATTAAAACTTAAAAGTGATGTGCCGCAATCAACAACAAAATCTCAAGAAGTAAAGAAATATGAAACAAAGCAGGGGGGAGAGAGGGAGATCATATAAAATACTTTCAATTCCGTACAAGGTTTGAACCATTTCAACAATTAGTAATTCAGGAATAGGAAAATAGAACAAAAGGTTAGAATATATATGAGAAAACCAGCTTACTTTAGAGAAAAAAGAGCCACATAGTTCAGGAGCGCGATACCATCGAGTAGCAACATAGTCCTTTGATAAACCAAACAAGGATAATTATGAAGTATTAGTTAAGAATACAAAAATTCAACTCAGAAAAATAACAGGAACAAATCAAAGAAGCTCCATAAGGTTCACACTTACAGTCCAGAAAATCGCTGATGGGGCATCATTAAATGATACACGAGCGAGCCCAAAATCACAAATCTTTAATTTGCAATCAGCATTAGCAAGGATATTTTTTGGTTTTAAATCACGGTGAAAAACATTCGCTGAAAGAAATAAAAAGATAAATATCAATGATCAACCAAATGTAAGAGCCGAAGAGAAGTGATGATATCAATGAAGTATTGCAACCTGTGTGTATATATTTTAAACCACGAAGAAGCTGGTACAGGAAAAACTGATAATGTTCAGGTGTAAGATCATCATTTGCCTTAATCACTTGGTGAAGGTCAGATTCCATCAACTCGAATACAACATATATATCTCTAAATTCTCTCCGAGAAGGAGGAAGCATAATATGCTTTATTTCTACAATATCCGGATGACGGAGCAGCCGAAGGAGCTTGATTTCTCGGAGAATACGTGTTGCATCAGAGACATGCTCAAAGACATCATTGATCTTCTTTATTGCAACCCTTTCTCCAGTGTGAGTGTCAATAGCAGAACCAACGATGCCATAACTTCCTTTGCCGATAACTTCTTGAATTTGATATCTGCTCGCCTCACCATACTCTGTGAAGAATTCTGAGTCCATCGTGCTCTGATAAAAACTGATCCATTAGAAACAATAGAAGCGATGCATATATGATGCCCATGATCATGAGACCACATTAGATGATGTAGGAGAGATGTAGAAAATAAGAAAAAGATATAGAGAGAGACGGGAGTATAAATAGAAAGTTAAGCAAAGTTGATAAATTGTTTTATTACATGGTGATTTTCAAATTACTGAACTATTGAATTAACCTTCTATCTTTTGTAGTTTATAATCAGTAACATTCTCTTTTAGCTGAAAAACCATATAAATGAGTAGTACATAAAATGTTACTAATATTAACTAGGGAAAAAAATGTTATTAATATTAATATCTTATCCATCCTGAGAAAAGGAGGATTGCTGGTATTCTATATAGATGGATTAAAATTAAACAATATGCAATGGATGATGTATTAGTAAAGGCAGTGACAGAAGGAATTTAATTCAGTGGAGGGCCGGAGGCTACATTAAACAGTGTCAAGATTATGAGTATTAACTTTTTTTACCAAAAAAGAAATACAAAAACTTAAATATTGATTGATTCTACTTTTATTCAATACATTTATGATTGTCCCCGACCACTTTTTATGTTTTGAACATTGCATGATAATTTATATGAAATAATTCAAGTAATTACAAGATTCTATCATAGTTTTAATTATTTCAAAAAACCAATTCACACAAAAAAATAAATAAATAAATAAATAAATATAATAAAAAAATAAATAAATGTGTTTGATATTAACAAAATTCTTATTCTGTTATTTCGTAACCTAAACCGAAATTTTTATTCACAAAAAGTGAGATAGGGTGAAACGCTGTGGGGCAATTGCCCCCACTCAACAATGTGGCTCAGCCACTTAGTAGAGGAATATATAGAAAAAATATTTTTTGTTTTTAATTTTTAATTTTTTTCATTTTAAAATAAACCATGTGACATATTTTCTTGTATTTGAATAATTATGCATTCATAAAAAATCATTCAACATCCATTGATCACCTTACTTCCCTACTCTCAAGGCATTAAGAACAGAAAAAAGTTGTAACAGCACGAATATCTGCATATCTTCTCGAATTCACAACTTCAAGAAATGCACATGTAACAGCCCTTTATTTAATACGCTTCAACTCCCAAATTAGGGGCTGTATCAATCAGAGTAGTAAATGCAAGTAGAATGGGTCATAATTTCATAAAAGAGGTGACTTCAAAAACATAAATATATACATTAATGGGAATAAAAAAATAAAATAAAACAGAAGCAAATTACAACTAAAGGAGAATCCATGATTCCCTGTCACGAAGGAAAAAAAAAAAAAAAAAAAAGTCAAATCATATCCATTATATTAAGCAGATAAATTATATTATAGAAGATAAAATCATATCCATTATATTAAGCAGAGAAATTAGTTGCATCATATACATATTGCCAGCCAAATTACTTGTGGGGTTTACTTATCAAAAATTCAAAATTACAAAACAAAAATAAATAAATAAAAACTTTACCAAATCCTGTTCAACCAAATAAGGCAAAATAAGACAGTAAAAAAAATAAATATATAAAATAAATAAAAAACAGGATCTGAATACCAAATACCATAAGAGCTTCCTATAGAATGAAAACCCAAATGTAAAATCCAATGAAATAAACAGTTAGATCTCTTGGTAGAAAGAAAGACAAAGAAAGAGACCTTTTTGTGAGGATCCATGGAGGTTAATGGAAAATCGATGCGTTTGGGGACTCTGATAAGATTCAAACCAGAGATATCAAAGTCTTCGATGACAGTGAGGTCGTCTTTGTCTAGTTGTTGTTGATGTTCAAGTGATGACGATTGGGCTTCGAGATCGGTCACGAACACATGGGATTTAAGCTTGCTATTTTTGTGATCATTGCTATTAACAACAGGGACTGATGATGAGGAGCGACGTTGAAACCAGCGACGAACACCGTCCACGAATGTTCCACTCCCCATACATATACACCCAATACTAAACTAGTATCGATTCAAATGGATTAACTACAGCCAATCGATCCCAGCATTGCCCGCTCTCTCTCTCTCTCTTCCTTCCTATTTTCTCTCCTGTCTCTATTTTAAGTGTTTTCTTTCCTCTTCTTTCTCTCTCTATACTTCTCTGGTCCGATGAGTTGAAAGGAGAGACAGAGACGGAGGGAAATGGGATTGCGTTACCGTGACTTGGATTTATTACTACTTATTATGTCTCCAGCGTTTATTTTTAGTATTATAGCTGTTTAAATAAAATCCAAGACTTTCTATGAAACGACACAATGCAAAACGGTGAGCTGAAGAGCAAATGAACATCCGACACGTGCTGAACTCTACATGGCAAGGCTCCAGTCCTAATGATATTTTCAACTCACGATAATAATATTCTCTCTTCTTCTCTTCCTCTTCACTTACAAACCCTAACACACAATCTCACAAACTTCAAATTGATATAAGTGCCAAATCGAAATTCATATTCACTTGCCTCACATTAGAGAAGGTTGGCATCAGATTCCGTACGCTAATATCATGTTGACGTAATGCTGTAAATTATAGTACTGTTTGTTTTTCATTTTGAGGCTATTTAATTGGTCTTTTCATTTTTCAAATCTGTTTTTGGGATTTTGACCCAAGCTATTACAACCTAGTGCTCGGAGCTTTTTTGGCTGGTTTTGTTTGCTGGAATCCATCCTAAAGAGTTTGTCTAGGCAGAATTCTTGTGGTGGTTATTGGTTGATTTGGCGCATATTGAATCTACTTTTTTTAAGGAAAAAAAAAAGAGGCTCGGTTGTACATGTTCTTATTGTTACAATCCGTTTTTGGTTGAACTTTGTTGTTACTTGGGTTTTTCTGCTTCTAATCGCTTTTGGAACTTCTTTGAAGACTTGGATTTGTTGAGATTTGATGATTTTTTATTTTGCTCCTGATATTAAATCTGGAAGTTGTTATCACATTTAGATTCAATTTTTATATTCTGTTTTGACTCCAAATCGATCAGTAACTCTAATAAACAAATCCCTGTACCTTTTGTTCAAATTCTGCCCTTGGTTGATGATAAACCAACACCTATATGCCTTGGTCAATTACCTCGAAAATTGAATGGCGGTAATTACTTCGCTTGGGCCCATGCTATGCAATTTTTTCTCCGTGGCCAAAGGAAACTGAAGTATTTAACTGAAAATCTTCCTGATGACACAAACAAGCATGGGGATTGTATGTGTGAGGATTCCACTGCTATGGGATGGTAGTGGCATAGTATGGAACCGAATATTTCCTCTACAGTTGCCTTTTGTGATTCCTCTAAGAAGATTTTGGATTCTCTTTCAGTCATTTATGCAGCAGAGTAATGTTTTTTGGGTTTATGAGCTCTCTGAGAAGACTTTTACTACTTTTTGGGTTTATGAGCTCTCTGAGAAGACTTCTACTACTAAGCCGTCCGGAAACCACAATTTGACTATTATAGTATAATAACCTCATATGTTAAAGGATTTATTAATTAAGATTAATTATTTTTATTTTATTTTTAAATAATTTGTTTGATTTAATTGAAATTAATTGCTTTAATTTTATTTTTAAATGATTTATTTTATTTAATTGAGTGTTTAGATTAATTGTCTTATTTTACTTAGATTATATTTGTTGAATTGATATGGTATTTTGCTTTATTGAATACATTGAATTTTTTATTTGATTTATGTGTATTTATGCTTGTATAAATTGTTTGTTAATTATTTATAATTATTATATTTCATTATTTTATTTTAATTGGACTGAGTTTGAAGAGAGTAGGACCAATGGATGTGGTCTTGGGCTTGAAGGACGCCTTGTTGGGTAAATTAATATAGGCTTATAGTTATAAAGATATTTATATAATTATCTTTGCATAATTATATATATAAATAAATATATGTGTGTGTGTGTAATTAATTAATAATTATTATGGAAGGTTATATCTGTATGTATTTATTGACATCGTATTACCTTCAAGCTTGTCGGGGATGCACTCCAGTGGTGGGAGTCAGTTACTTCCGTAGAGGAGAGGACTTTATTGACATATGATCAATTCATTACTCGCTTCGATGAGAAGTACATTCCATATGCGATCAGGACAGCTATGAAGATGGAGTTCCTTAACTTAGAGCAAGGGAACATATCAGTAGTAGAGTATAAGCAGCAGTTTACACGCTTATCACTTTTTTGCGCCAGAGGGGTGGATACAGAGGAGAAGAAATGTACTAGTTTTGTTTGGACTAATGTGGTCTATTAAGTGATCTATTACTAGTAATCCAGCCTACACTACGTATGCTCAAGCGATGGATGCAGCTTTGTAGCTTTATCAGCTGAATGTAGATTTCAGACAGACCAGAGATGAGAAACGGGGTGTTAGAGACTCTACTAATCAGCCAGCTAAGAAAGGGAATGATAATGGGAACTGACAGAATGACAAGGGCAGATTCCAGGGACAGCAGTCTTAGAAGAAGCACAATGGTGGTTCGGATGCTCACAGGAATGGAACACCTATTCAGAGGCAGCAGAATAGGGAACCACAAGCAAGATATGGTCAGCCACAGACTAAACAACAGAGGAGACCATTTGGCACCTTCAAGGGTAGTTGTTATACTTGTGGAGGGGGACACACTTCCAGGCAGTGTCTTAAACGAGAAGATGTTGAAGCATTCAAGAAGAGGGTACCGAAGTTCAAGGATGAATGCTCTTTTAAGAGTGATACTTATTTTTAATAGCAGTGGAAGTATTATTGGAAGAATAATACTGTTTAAATTATGTATACTAGTATTTGATTACCTTTAAAGAATATATGATGATTATTCTTTTGGAAGTTTATGGTTTAAAGAAGCTCTTAATAAAGTGAATTGGTGGTTTTAGTATCTCTGTTTTGTTTCATGAAATCATTAAAAAAAGCTTTTGGGGTTGCATGTTGGTATGACATTGCTTAAGGATTTGCATGGACAATCTTTTAAGATTTTCCATTCGTGGATCCTTGTTTAAAAGGAATTGAATTATGAGTCCTATATTAATTAATGACATATTTATGGAGATTACTCTTTTTAGAAATCTTATGTGAATGGGCGAAATAGTTAGGTTATCGTAAACTTGAATATTAGAGTTCGAAAATGGGAAGCGGGTTAATTTCTAAAGCATTTTTCTGTGAATAGTATAACGTGGTTTAGCAATAAAGAAGAGGTTATTACCTCATTATGTGGGTTATTCATATTTTGCTTGATTAGGCAATTGGATGTTATTGGCAATGTTATATATTTCGCGTCATGCGTATAAAGGAGTTTTTATATGTTTTGCTGCAAGAAATTACAGCAATGGGATATTTTCCCAAAACATATAAGTTGGCGAGGTTAGGTTGCAAAGAAATGCAACGAACATAGATTAGCTCAGTATATTCTTAATAAATTACGAGATATGCCTACTAATTATGAGTATGTGTGAATGGGTTAATTTCCACAAGAATAAAGGGAACATTGAAATTTGAAATTAAATAATCAAAACTTTCATTTCATGGATTCGTGAATTTCGAGGACGGAATCCTTTTTGTTAGGAAGAAGAATGTAATACCCTGATATTTTAAAAGATTTATTACTTGGGATTAATTACTTTTATTTTATTTTAAAATGATTTGTTTGATTTAATTGGGATTAATTGCTTTAATTTTATTTTTAAATGATTTATTTTATTTAATTGAGTGCATAGATTAATTGTTTTATTTTAATTAGATTATATTTCATGATTATATTTGTTGAATTAATATGATGTTTTGTGTAGGTGCAATTTCTCACACCCGGACACTTAAAGAAATAAATTAAAAGGAAATATATGAATTACAGGAGAGATAATTGGCAATTTTTCAAGAGAGAAACAATGATAGAAATTCGATGCCTTTTAATCTCATTCATGCTCTATTTATAAGCTTTGTTCAGAAAATTACATGGAGTCGTTAGTGGCAATTTTCTAAATGTGGGTGTTTATGCTTTCCGATCGTGCGCCCCTTTCTTTTATGGTGGGTGTTATGGAGTGTTGGGCTATTCGTGATCGGGTTGACCCTGGATCCGTTTTATGTCAAGTGGAGCTTCCTTCATTAATTGGGCCAACTTGATATGTTTGTGGATCTTTCTTGTTGGGCTTCTAGCTTATGCTGGGCTTTAAGGCGAATTTGGTTAATAATGGGCTGTACACCTATTGATACGTGGTGCGTTATGATTGGTGGGGAAATTTCCTTCCACACTTTGCCCCTAATTCCTTTTATGAATTGAATTCATATATGGAATTTACAACTGCTTTTAGGAAGTGGAGTGTGACACCCCCAACATTTTCCACGCATAAATTGATCAGGCTTATACACGAAAAACGAGGGATATCAAAAACAATTGGCAATATACAAGCATGGAATACAAAATGATGATAATAAAAGAATTTAGACAGGAAAGGAACACTAAATAATACAACATCCATCCATCCTTTATTTAATACAGTACTCCATTACAACTTGGAAATCCTATGTCAAGGATCCCTAAATATAAACCTGAGAGTTCAACGTCAAAAGTAAAATAAAAACTGAAACTGAAGTAATACATAAAACTTCTACCCTGAACTGGATCGTAAGAGTAGATGAGTTCGGATGGTGGTCCCACACTGCTAACCTCAACCTTGGAACGGGTACTGACCGTATCCTGAAATAACAACAATGGTGGGTCAACCCCACGAGCAAGTCCTCTCTACTATGACCCAAATCAGAGAATCAAATAAATTAATCATTATGAATCGGACGAGTACTATATTTGCATACATCCTAAGGGAACTATCCAATGTATAACATGACCTCAACCAGAATAGACGGTGATCACTTAGACTCACACTAGGTGGTTAAGTGTCGCCTTTCGCTACCCGGGAAATCAGCTATTATACATGGTGCGCGGTACTGACAACACAGACTATAACGAACTACACAGTGATAACACCTCTCAAGGTACTGATGAATATACTGAGCATATAAATTAGGCAACACATGCCAATAATATTACTAAACATACTGAGCATGTCAATTAGGCAACACATGCCAATAATATTAAATCACATACCCCGACAGCCACACATCTGTCTATAGCAACGAATGCATAAGGTATAAATGAGTCTAAACTTATTAGCCAGCTCACATGGTTCTATATGGCAACATATCCATATAATATAAATGCGACA